AACTCTCTTTAATAAGAAAAGCATGATTTGCCAAAAAAAATTCTGTCTTTGATTTGGTGTAAAAATATCTTGTAAAGGTTTTAAAAAGCAATACAGTGAAGTGTCTCATACCTGTAGCCACCCTGAGATAAGGTTGGGGTGCGTTAAGGATCATCAGGAGTTTAGTTCTGTTTCTGTGCAGCATCGTAACTAAGTGACGCTTCAGTGGTTTTGACTCCAAACACAACTAACTCACAGAAAGTTTGGATTTTTGTCTGTAATTGTTGTGATTGTGTTAAAAAAGCATATATGTAAAACTCAAATTTACCCTTAGTGTGCGCAAAAAACTCCACATTCCTGGCCGCACCTTACAAACACAAATAGTTTGTATGTATTTGCACTGTAGTACAGCGACAGTAGTAGTGCACCCTCCGCAGAGCACGGCGTGGGACTAAAAATAGCGCTGTCAGAGGGGTGGGGGAGGGGCGGGTCATCCCTGCCTGGATAAATATAGAAAAACAACCAGATGGAGACGAGACAGGAAAACATCAGGATGAAAGCAAGCCGCAGGAAGGAAGAGAAAAAAACTATTTGCATTCACGTGCCGACACACATACAACACACACACACACACACACACACACACACACACTGCAAACATTCACACATGCCACTCCCACACACCAACATACCAATACACAGTACATTTGTCCTTGCTGATACAGAATGACTCACACGCCCAAACAAATACATGTAACATCTTGCATGCTGTGCTGTTTATATGCTGTCCATTGCTACATGTCATGTGCATACACATGTACAGTGACCATTATTCAACACGCAACACACACACACACATACACACACACACACACACACACACATTTCTCTTTCCTTACAGCCACAGAGACACACACATAACTGGCTGATGACCTTATAGTGGCATGCTGTATATTAGCGGTGGCACGTGCTGCTCACACACACACACACACACACACACACACAAATTCCAAACAGTCGCTTAGTTCCCTTCAGGCAAACCACTGCTAAAATTAAACCTCTGTGATCTTAAAATACCAGCCAGGCACGTGAGCCAAAGACAGGATGGTGAAGACAACAAACAGAGGGGAGGAAGGGTGGTGGTGACAGGGGAATAAGAGGAGGAGGGGAGAAAAGAGGTGGAAGAGAAAATTAAATCTGTTTGCCAGTTTTTTAATCAGCTTTTAGTTACAGTCCAGAGAGGATGCAAGAATATAAGTCCAATAACCTTCCACCAGCCACAAGTAACAACATGCTGACTGCAGGAATTTGACTCTGAGAGGATGATCTGTTTGACATGTAAGGAGTTATATACGTCCACAAAGGTCATTTGTATTCTTTCAGCTGAGATTATAGAACTCCGTCAGAAGAGCTGAAAGTCTTTGAATGGTGTCGATGCTTGCTTGGTTTTGAATGAGAGCTTTTCTGTACAGTGCTGCTCACAAACTGAATGGATATCATCGCCATTGCAGCTGTTGTGAATGGCAACTGCTCGCACTCAGTGAGGCTTTTTGTGGCTCAGCAGCTCCCCCATCTGGGGAAAGAGTGACCTCAACATTGTTGACCTATTAATTCTGCTTAAAGCTGTGTCCCGATTCAGAAATACAAGCTAATTCTAAGCAGGCTTTAAAGGGATAGTTTGGATTTTTTTTTGGACCCCTCAGGGAGACTGTGAGAGCAACGGCGGGATCATGAAGAAGCTTCCATCCATCAAGGAGGACGAGGAGGGATCAGGGTCCGAGGGTGAGCGCTCCCCGCTCCCCAAGATACCTGCTTTAGGCAGACTGGGCCGAGGCCTATGCTCCCCACTACGCTCCCCTCTACGCTCCCCACTACTGCCGGCAAGAACCTTCAGACCCTTGAGCGATCACACCCGACCCGCCAGCCTGCAGATCCCCGTGGTGAGCTTCAGCTGCCTGCAGCCAGACCTTAGCCCTCGGTAAGGAAACCACGCATTGATTTACTGACTGGTTGCTCAGTGTTAGCTTGTTGATTCAGCGGCAGGAACCCACTGCTGGAATTTGACTTGGTCTCTTTGTGACTTGTGGCATTATTCATGAACACTAACCATGTACAGGCTAATTTGCATGGAGTCCCTGGAGAGGTGGCAGCAGACGCTTGGCCGGAGGAAGTCATTTATTTTGGTACAGCTGTGTGAGGAGGCACAGGAGCATAAATAGTGTCACTGTGTCTGATTTCCAAAAAGATATTTTGGGGAAAAATTATAGTTACATTACAAATTACTACTACAGAAAAACACACCGTTAGGGTGCCTACGTCAGATAATGCTCTTTGATTCAGTAAATTTGGCCATTAAACTACGTCTAGTTTGTGTTTATGAATAATGTAAAGCCACAAGAGACATTTGGGATTTTGTATGTTGTCAAGGAAAAGCCATAGGGAAGAAAAATGACTGTACACTGTGACTATAAGCTTATTTTCCAGATCACTCCCCTCTTCCTGTCTGTCCTCAGGTTTGTGGACGGGATCGAGACAGTACACCAGAGCGGTTCCGCTCATAAGTTTGATTTCTCTCCCAGTGCAACTCAGAGTTTCCTACCCAGCCCTGATTCAGCTGCCTCAGGTTAACACACACACACACACACACTCACACACAAAGGAGCATACACGGACTGGATGATCTGTGGAGCTGCAGTCCTTTCTTACATGTACTGTATTTTTATACATATATGCATGTGTGCATTAGTTTATTTATTTTTTCCACAGGAGCCCATGATGAAAGTTACACCATGGAGACTATCGCTAAACTTAAACATGAGGTAAGATGGCTCATACTGAGGAGAAAAACTGTAACTGCCATGTAAAGATATAGCAGAGTTATGGCATCCTGAGCAGAGAATGAAGTCACTCTACCTCTGTGTGTGTTGTAATCTGAGCTTCTCTGTGGTTGTGGTAAGCGGTGCAGCCACATGTTCATGTTACTGCATGTGTGTATCCCACTGGTTAGCTCACTGCGGCTACTTTGTACTGTGCTCACAAAGCTGTTACTGCTGATATTGACACAGTGCTGTCACTGAAGCATAGCGCCCACCCTCCAGTTCATCCCTGGTCAGCTCTGTTAGCTCTGTTAGCACTTTTTCCGTTGTTTAGAGCTGTCTATGAAGCTAGCATTGTTAGCCGTTAGCCTCTAGCTCAGCCACCTCTATGTTGAGAACCATTTGCATTTGTATTTCGCAGTGGGAGAAGCTTTAAAGAGCTCATTATTATGAATTGTTGCTTATCTTTTTTATGAGCTATGATGAATTTAAAAGTTTGTTGTTGCACTTTTGCTCATACTTTCCATCAGCTGTCACCAAAGACCTCACAGATTTAAATGAATTCTGAATTCTGCATGTATATAATGAATCATAAATCTTGAGCTGTTCATGTCATATGTTTCTTCTTTTTCTAACAGCTCTGGTTATTTATTTAAAAAAGAATACATCCATATTTTATGCTAATAAAAGACTTAAGGAGGCAGTTTAATGGAAGTGGTACAAAAATGCAATTTGTTTAAGGAATATTTTAGCTCTAAGTGCAGTAAATGCAGGGCTATAAGCCAACTTTTGACTTTGTTGTATATCATTAACTTGAAAACAAGAGTCTTGTGTGACCTGCATCATTGCCTCCCTCATCTGACTCTGCCCTCTGCAGATGAGCGTCCTTTCCCATCAGGTGACCGCTGTCAGTCAGGAGCTGCAGGAAATGACGCGTCTCCTCAAACCTCTCTTCCATAACCCCTCCACGCTGCTGATAGCCAGTGCAGTGACTCCGCCTCCAAGCGTGTCATCACACAGCTGCTCCCCAGCCCCACCTCTTCTCACCCAACACGCACCTGTGGACTGTTCGGACAATCAAAATCCTCCTTCCCTCCTGGTACCTGAGCCGTCCTCTCCTCAGCCCAGCATGACGAAGGCGTTACAAGGAGAGTTTGATCCACTTCACTGTCCACCCATCACCTCCCATAATCCTCTGTTTCCTCATCACGCCAGCACCGCTCCCCTAGTCTCTCATCGCTCAGCTCCCCCTTCACTCAACAGCTCTCCCCATGAGCACACACTTGTTCCACATCCCTCCTCCTTCATCCCCTCTCTTTCTTCATCAAGCCACCCGTCATTCATCACTCCCCTTTTGGTAGACTTATCAGGACCTGATAGTGGGCAGCCTCAGTCCCATCCTCCACTCCAGTTTCACTCCCAGTTCACATCCCCGTCTTATCCCCAGCCCGACCTCCAGTCCTCCAGCATGGCCTCACATACCCGAGAATCCCTCTCGAACCTGCAGGAGGTGGAGTGGGGGGAGCACACAGCCCAGCTCAGCTTCATCAACGAAGGGCAGCCGTCGGTGTGAGCGGAGAAGATGAGGACACTGGCTCAGGACGGGACCAACCAGCATGCCGCACAACTAACTGCATGACAAACATTTGTCCAAAGTTTGGCATGTGAGTTCAGATGTAAATACATCGATTTGAAACTGTTCTAAACTATGATCTTTAGCACCAGCTGTATGCAGATCTGATAATAAAATAGTTTGTTTTACAGTTTCATTTTGCTTTGATTTGGACGGGATGCTCTCAGTTAAACGCAGTTAGCCCAGTTCCCCCCAAACTTCCTCAGAACCGCTCTGACACTGCTTTTGAGAGACATCCCACAAATGCTGGAAGAAGCTAAAAGGACAAAACCAGTGAGTTTTAGCTTAATGAGAAAGGTATGCATACCTTCTGTAAATCACTGTAAATTATTATTATAGGTAAGAGGGAAAAATATGTATTGTTGATTTTGGGATGAACTGTCTCTTTATCACCCCCTCAAAGTCAGACTGGAGATCACTCGTACTCTCAGACACCCAGACACAGTGATGACACAGTCATTTCTTATCATTCGCTTTTATTGTCGCCATGGCTGCTGCTCCGTCTGACGTCTCTCAGCTGTCAATCATGAGCCAATCAACAGCCAATAAGAGGGTGAGAAAAGGCACAGTAGCTACTCTGTTAGCTTTCTGAAAGACTGTACAGTGGGACAGACAGCGCCCCAGTCCACTGGTTTGCGGTACTCGCCTTTCTCCAGCAGGTACTGGCGTCCCTTGTAGTGCGGGTGCTCGTAGAAGACCCACCAGCCTCCCAGGACCCTGCAGGAGTGGATCTCCCTCCAGTGGAAGTTCTCCAGCACAGAGGGACAGTCTTCAGTCGCCTCAAACACCCGACCGGCAAAGTCTCCTTTGACATAGAGCTGGATCTTGTAAGGATCTCCACTGGTCTGGGGAGGATAAAAAAAAAAAAGAGGAAACGGAGAGAGGGAGAAGGGTTTGGAGAGATGTGGTGCAAACATGGATGGGAGGATACAGGTTTACTGAGATGGAGGCAGGTTTGGGCTGTGATGAAGAGGATGTGTGGAAGAGTGAAGGACTGGAAAGTGGATGGCACAGCACAAGTGCAGTGTCAGGGTAGGTCTTAACTAATGTCACTGCAAAAATAAGTGTTTTAACAAGTCATTCAATGAAATGAGCATCAGAATCTTTAAGAAAATTATCTTTAAAGGCTCAGTGATGGACAAAATAATATGAGATATGGTGCTGTATTGTTCTTTTAAATAAGTTTTGTTCAGTTTTTAAAGACTGGGAGGCTTACGAAGTGAATCATCTTGCAGGAGCAGACTCTGTCGTTGAGGCCTAACCAGCTCTGGTAGTCGGGGTAGTCGCCTCTGCTCAGGACGTACTGGTAGCCCATGTAGTTCGGCCTCTCGTAGATCACCCAGGTCCCGCTCTCCACTTGGGCCGAGTTGCAGCAACTCAGGTAGGAGTGGAAGTCAGTGCAGTCGCTGTCACACTCATACCTGCGACCCTGGTAGTTCTTGTCCTCATAGAAGATGATCTGGGGGAAGGTAATCATCAGGAAATACTTAATTATTTAAAAAGGTTTGTGTGTATAACATTCGTTTTTTTAAGGTTTTTTTGACTAATACTAATACATGAAAAGCACAAACTTGACTAGGAAAAAGGTATTGTGGTCACTGTTCACGAGTGGCTGATATCCTGTTTAATAAAAGGTCAAAAGGTCAGCTGATTCACATTATGTAACATCTCACTCATGCACATCACACTAAACTATAACCAACTTTTTATCTTTCGCTCCTACTCACCCTGCCCATCCTGGGACCAGCTGTGCTCCGCTGTGTCTCCCTTGAATGTGTGTGTGTTATGTAATGTACTGTAAATACTATGTGCGCGTGTGTGTGCTCGTACATGCCCCCCATTCTCTTTTATACCTGCAGAGCCCTCTATGATGGAGACAACTGCTTTGTCATGAGAACGAGATCCAAAATTTGACTCAGTGGTTCCATTGCCGGTCATGTTTTCCAGAAAGAGGCTGTGGGATTACTCAGCATAAAGACCTCAGCCATTGACCGCACTGTCAACACACACACACAGACGTACACAAACGCACTGTGACATAAATACAAATATTATGGACCTCTGTTTGGTGATTGTATAAATGTTGAACTGTCCTCATGCACTGAGGGAACAAAACGATCAATCAATGCATCTCAAGATGCAGTTCATCAAATGGCCACAAGATGTCAATGTTGGCTCACATTTTAATCCCCTTTAATCCCCTGATTTTAACCTGAATCCATAGTGTCTGCCATACAACTACCAGACAGACAACACCAGACAAAAAATTCTTCTTACGTTAAGTTACTAGATTTTTATCAACTTTACTAAAGGTCACAAAATGTCAATATGTGTGTGTAATTTTTAGTTATTTGTAAATTTTACCCCCAAATCCAGCAGATTAACACAGCTATGAGAACGCTACTGGTAAATAAGGATTTCTTGTTTTCATTACTCTGTTTCTGGCTTCCTCCCCACTTCACTTAGTAATTAAAAGTCCCTTGAAATGTCAGAAAGACACATTTCTGAGTGTCTTGGACAGAATACATGAAGATGATTATAAACAGGATTAAGGAATACCTGTAAAATGTCAATTAAAAGCCTTGTCCCAATGAAACGCCCAGTCCCTTTTACTGGCCCAGTGTAGCTACACATTTTGACAAATAAATACATGTTTCAATTAGGGGCCTGGTCTGATTGTAAAGCAGTTCTTTTTTTGTAGAAGTTCTTTGGATGTATAAAACCAGGTTATTGGCTACCTCAAATTATGTGTCCATTCCTCGATTACCCTGCAAGTTATTCATATTCCTTTTGTCTGCAAGGGTCCTCAGATCAGAAAGATTAATCTAAGTTGTGAGTATTGTTTTAACAGGATAAAGTGGTGTTGTGTCGGTATGCTGAGTGCTGTGATCCTTGAGTGCCATAACTCTCTCTGATGCTCTGTCTGTCGGAGTTCGATCAAATGAATGATTCAGAATTGATACATTATCTGAAGCCTAATATTTATACAAGTAATATTCATACAGGTGAGGAAGACATTAAGACATTAAAAGCCTGTCCCATATAGATGCCTGTCCCAAATATAGGCCTGTTGATTTCAGTGATTTAGGCAAATAATAGCCTGGGCTATTAGTTGATGTTTTATGGTAACTGCAGAGCTAAGTGTTAATTAATTGTGAATGAACGGGCCTATGTTTAGACATAGACATGTCCCATTCAATGTTGAGAACATGTGCATTGACAAAAAAATATATAACATAACCTAAAAAAACATGAAAAATGAAATTAGAACAAAATAAATTGATGCAGAAAAAGCAAAAATTGATGCATGAAACAAAACCTACTCCCTCAGGTGCCACACGGGGGCAGCATTTCCTCAGTGAAAAGACAGCAAACCTTCTTCATCAGAGGTTTTTTTGCTGTTTTTCATTGATAGTTTTTTTTGCCAACATTGCTGTCAAAAAATAAAAATAAAAAGTAAAAATCACCTTGCCTCTCAGGACTTTTGTAATCTGGAAAATAATCAGCAGATTCATTAATTGATCATGAAAACAGTCCATTATTTGAAGCCCTAGAGGATAGCAGCCAAGTTAAATCTGCTAAGTGCAACACATAAAAATCCATTCTACTAATGAAATTACACATATAGCAAAAGAAAAACAAAACATTTTAACCCCAAAAAGAAGTCAGATTAGTATCAGTGTGACTCATTTAACAGTAATTTCTCCAGACACAGTCCAGATTCTCTATAAAAATAATCACTTCCTCTGCTTTCACACAGCTTTTGGTCACCAGTATCCATCACCTGAAACTCAGCACACACGTTTGCTATCTAAGTAAATCAGAAATGCTTTAGTTGGTACATAAGAAGCTCTGCATGGTGGTTTTACACCATAAACACACGCAGAACATAAATATTTGCTGTTACAGGTAATAAGAGCTGGCTTGTTTTCATTGGAGCCTTGTGAAAGCACTCTTTAATTGCCACGCATACCGTCTCACACACACACTTCTTGTTCATGTTGAGCAACTTGTGGTGAGCTGTCAAAGATACTTAGGATGATGAAGGACAGACAAGTGTTGGCAGTTTGCATGCATGCACACACACATACACATATACACACACGTACACTCACAAACCACAGAGGAGGAGCAACAGGAAGGCAGACAGGCGGAGTAGTAATGATAGGTGACTATTCTACCATCTAAAATAAATCAAGGAAAGCTGACCACCAGCTCTGCTGTTTGGACAGACACACTTATACACACTTAAGTGTTGGATGGTGGGAATATGTGGGATACATTCTCAGAGTACTACAGACTTTTGTCTTGCTTTTAAAAGAGTTTTAAAATAACTTTTACTCCATGTGTCTGCTCGTGAAAACAATCAAAAGTCTTTAATGCAGCATTACGATCATAAAAGCGTCTTTTAGAATCAGATCAAAATAAAATTTGGGTTTATTGCCAAATAGATTTTCATATACAAGACATTTGCTTTGGTGTATCAGTGAATAAAATCAACGTAACAAGAAAAAATAAAATAAAAACAAGCACTGCAAAAATTAAGAAACATAATGGAACACAAGAAAATGATAATTAAAATATGAAAAAAAAAACACTATAAAAATATGTTCAATTTCTGAATTAAAATGAAAGCTCACTATAGTTTTTAGAAGTGCTGTTTGCGGTTAGAATCAAACCAAACTTGAGGATTAAAGTGAGCTTAGTCTGAGAACTTTAAGGGTAAAAGTCAGAATTTAGAAATATGAGATTAAGTTAGATTGAATTCAGAATTGTAAAAGAAATAAAATAAAATAAAATAAAATAAAAATTAGGCTTTAAGTGAATATTCCAAGTGTGGGCATAAATCTTTTGCTAAAAACTTCACTAACTTACTTTTTTTTTTTTTATTGTCCATTTTTATTGTGTCTAAACAAGTATTGTCACATACACTTACTAAGTCTGCTGACCATTTATGAATAATGAAGTCATCTCTGTAACTAAAACAGCTTCAAACAAAAATGCTGTTATTAATACATTTTATTAATCAATTCATTCAGCCATTATTTGTCTTTATCTACAGATTGCAAAGCTCCCCTGAGGCAAATTTGTGGTCTTGGGCGACATAAATAAAACTGACCGGACTAATTTATACGGGGTGCCTAAATGAGCGCAGTAAAAGCAAGCAAAACTGCAAATAATAGATAAGGAAAGCAAAATACAAAAGAATAAAGAGAGAAAAATATGTACATGCAAGAATATGAGGCTATAATCTTGTATACTGAAGCTCTAAAAGTCAGTGGTGGCCTCAGACTCATCATATAGGCTGAAAGGGTGGATGTTAGAGTTTCAGCCAAAGTAACAAACTGTAGTGAAGGAGGATGGATTTACAAGAAATGATAGGTTTGCCTTGAATGTCCAGCTCAGGTCAAAACATTTCCCACAGCATATTTTTGTCCTTTCAGTCCTGTAGTTTGAGTTCTTTCCTACCAGTAGGGGGCAGACAATCAGCTCCTCTATAATCCATCCTGATCATTTGTAACTTTTAAATTCCGTGTGTATCTCTTCACTGTCTATTTAAGAATTGTGACATTGTTAGCGTGATTAACTTCTGACATAAATCTCCTTTTCCCCTCTTCTTCTCCTCCTCCTGTTCTCTACTATCATGACATCTGGGAAATAAATTATCCTTTCTAAATCTGTGATCACATTAGTCATTCACGCCTTTCTAGACTAAAGACGTAGCTCTTTTTTTGCCCGTGTTTTTCATATTTCTATTGATTTGACACTATGTTTTCTGCTGGAGAGCTTTAATGGTACAGATTATTTTATAAGACAGTAATAAATGTGACATTTTCTTTTCATTTTTATGCATGTCAGTCAGTTTCCCTCCCAAACCCCATCTCCTCCCTCCCTTCCTCCCCTCCTCCCTCACTCCCTTGCTCCCTCTACATGTGTCATTTTACTGCTCTTTACTCAGCAGGCAGCAGCAGTCTGTCCTCATCACTCCTTGTCTTTATATCTCCTTGCTCCTTCTCCCGGTGCGCTGTTTTTGTTACCAAGGGGAAACGTTGGGGAACATTCACATTCTCTCAGGCTGGATTCACTCGTTTTCACCAATGGATGGAGTTTATTTCCCAGAGAGCACGGTGACTTCTTAAAAAGTGAGTAAGCGTTTACTGAAAACTTAAAAAGTTTTTTACCTCACAACTGACTGAAAACTACAGATAGAAAACTAAACTAACTGTGATGAAATGTCCTTTTCAAATAGTTAAAATGATGTAGAGATGTCTCATGATGAAGTAATGTAAGTTTCATGGGAGTATAGACTGATACATGAAATAATTTTGACAATGTAGGACAAATTTAATGTCAAGTTGCATATACAGTATATTTGTATGGAAGTAAATGTCATACTTTTAACACTGTAAAGTTACAGTTGACCTTAAACAGGTTGGTTTTATGACAGTAAAGTAAGGAAAATACAACCAAATGCAACTAACACACTTTCTGACCAAAAAAAAAGAAATTGTAGAAAAATGGCACTGTCACTTTTTATGGGACATTACTGAAACAAAATGTGTTTTCTTGTTGAAAATCCCGTTAACGATTGTGAAAATGCCTCACAAGTTGTTGCATTATCCAATATTTGATACACTCACACTTGATGTAGATGGTAAATTGATGTTACAGGTTGGCTTTGGATAGTTTTGATTTATTTTTGTCAAATTTTACTCTAAAATAAATATTGGAAATGTAGATAATTCCTTACAAAATTCAGTTTTTCTAATATTTATGTATTGACACTTCCTCCTCCTTTCACAGCCTTTACATTGCAAATCTTACAGTGTTTTGCTTTAATAAAAATACCAAAAATTTGTGTGGTTTTCACATAACTTGATTACCACTTTGGAATATAGCTGTAAAACATTTTTTCAATGCATGGTGAAAGCTTAATTTTAACCTCCTCTTTACACAGCACTTGGATTGGCACAAGGAATCACTAATAATTTGAAATTAATGACATTTTCCAATTAGTGTTTAAAATATGCGGTGGAAATGTTGTTCATGTTGTCACGGAGGAAAATGGAAATGTTTGCAAAGAAATTACTCAATATGGTACTGTATACAACCTAGGATGTAGAAAATACAAAAAAGTTTTAAATAGGAAGAGCTGATATAAGGTAAAAATAGAATAAAATATAATTTTTATTGCCTTAATGTTTTGGAGTTGAAGCAAAATACTTTTACAGTCAATTTAAATGATTTGCTACGGCTAATATTTGTGTATTTAATTCAAAAACACATTTAATAACTATATACAATGGCATTAAGAACAAAAAGACGTGTCCTAATTCTTAATTAAGTGTCACTGGTCATAATTTAATAGTTGAAAAGTTGTTTTAAAGTTGACAAAAACTGACTTGATTAATTCCAGCTTCAATTAGCTGTTAGCTTAAAGGTTTGTTGTCCTAGCTCCACACCACACACCAAACTCTGTTCAAAATTCATAGTAATTAATAAAGCCTTATTTAAAATATATAATAAGTGATTGTTCAGGCTGGCACACAACCAGGCAAGTATTTTATTAATATCCTTTAGTTTAGCTGACCCTTTCCATAGAGGTGTAACTGATTAAACACAGCTGCAGCTAATACAATTAGCTGTTAATAATGACTAACACAGCTAGCTAACGTTACACAGTCTTATTTAGTGTGCCACTGAGCCTTAACAATAGGACACTGTTTTGTCAGCGCCGTTTTGTCAGCACTCGCTGCCATATATTTTTCAATAGCGGTTCATTTGGCACACCTGAATCAAACGGAGCCATTATTAGCTTAATTTTATTAGCAGCAGCTGTGTTTGTCCTGCTGTGACACGTCAGGTGAGAAGCTTCTACTCCTACAGCTGCTAATGTCCGTCATGCTGTCGTGCGGAGCGGAGGACAGTAGGGACCTCAGCAGCACTAAAAGTTCAGACTTAACGACAATTAAGTAAGTTATAACTTTTAAATATATGCCGAATTTACCACTATGTCCTGAAGTTTTAGTCAGTAGTCACAGTATGTGTATGGTTTCTAATAATGCGTAATAAACAATGAACAAATTATTATTTGAGTAGTATTTGAATGGGATGCGTGTATTCATGCGAGCCCAAGAAATCTGTTGAAACTAAACTAGCTGCGTCAGCAATGACACCATTTCATAATAAAGATAATACAATTTTGAATTTTGAAACATTTTGAATATTTTATACTGTTTTACACTTTTGAATATATACTGTTGTAATATTGTTGTAGCCTGTTAACTATAAAAATAATGGTAATAATGACGAATACAGTTCTCACAGTCTCCTATGTAGGTGACTGAAATGTGCTTCTTTTAATGCACACAAGCAGTAAGAACAAAAAGGAAAGTCTAAAAATTGACTTAAATAAAAGATAGTTCCCTGTCACAGTGTAAAATGTGAATTTATAATTACTAAATGTAGAGCATCTGAACCAAACCTAAATGTGCCTAAATATTTAAAGCCTGAATAAGCGTGATGAAACTCAACATTTGACCCAAATGCAGTAGAAATAAGTGCTATTTGTTGTCAGTAATAACAGTAAGCATATTATGAGAATATTCACCTGTTAAGAGTTCATCAGCTCGTAATCGAAGCAATTTAGCACAAGTGTTTGGAATTTTTACGGTGTCAGAAGAGGCTGATTGAGCAGTTTTGAAGGTGCACTGTGCAGTTTTCTTGTAAACAAACCAAAGTTATGTTTACGTCCAGCGTTAGTCACCAGAATTCACTGAGTGTGTACCCTTAAGATCTACAAAATGTGATGAATGATTTTTCCTCCTCATAAAAACCCTCGCTTTTTTTCGCACATGAGGCAGACAAAACAAAGACACACAGATTTGACCTCTTGTGTGTATGCATGCTTGGGTGGTGTCCTTGAATCCTCTCAATGACCCCTTGAGCCCCCTTAAAAGCCACTGGAAACTCCTCAAGGGCCCCTGGAACCCTTTCAGGGTCATTTGGATCCTGCCCACACACTTACAGTATGTGTCACCAGACTCTAATAATTTCCACTGAACTAAACTATAGTAAAATTCAGCCAGTCCTACTGTAAGTGCAACCTACTCAAGGACCCTGTGAACCCTCTCAAGGGCTCTTAGGTGTCACCAGACTCCACTTTAGTATCCCTACTTAGAGAATTCACAGTTAATTTGATTACAGTGAACACCTTAAATGCTGTTAAAGGCCCTTGAAGCTCTTTTAAAGACACTCAGGAGACCCTTTAAATTGGACCCTGCCTAAATTAATCTACTACAGTATTTTTGCAGCCAGCGGAGGTTTTCTGTGTGTTTCTCCATTATTTGACAGTCAGAGGCTACCGAGTGTGACTGTACATTTGGCCTCCATGTGTGCTAGTAAAGTGTGTGCTGGGAGTGTGTGGTCTCTTGGCTATACACCCTCTGAATGTGTCGCTTGAAGTGGTTTTATGTGTGTGAACGCGCAAGTGAAAGACACTTTTCAAGTGTAACAAGGTCTTACCCCTTTTTTTTTTTTTTTACTGTATTAATCACATAAAGGTATTTATATTAGCCTAGTAAATTACTATTTTCAGTTTGGCATGAAAATAATTTGAATCTAATAGAAAATACATTTTTAACTTTGATACATAAGGCGCAAATGGAAGTGTAAAGTTAATGTATGATGTTGAAATTAAACAGAATAAGGATAAAAGACAGATTATTAATTATAAAATAACAAATCAATTCAACTTGAAGTCAAAAGACGCAACCATACAGTGTGCACAAGTGCATTTACTAAGCCCTTTATGACACACAAGCCTCAGTATGTTTAAGAGAAGGATATGTATTATATTTGTACAGACTTGCCTTGATGAAGTTGTAGACGTACTGGAACGAAACATTAAAGTGGAAATAGACAAGTTTTTTTACTTTAACTCATCGTGACGTAAATTTTGTTTGCACAGTGTAACCCTGTATGAATAATGACACAACCAGCATTTATATTGGTTGCTAAAAGTCAAGTAAAAAAGCCATTAGGTATGATCTCCTATAAAAAATAAAGACGCCATTTACGGCATAAAGGAAATGTGTCAACCATTGTGTAACCAAAACAGGAAGAAGATAGCACTTTATTTGCCCAGTAGCTATCGGCTGTTATCCCCAGTTACCAAAAAGTGTCAGTGTGATTTTTTCCAAAGTAACTGTGGAAACTAGTAGTTGCTAGGCTCTGACAAAAACGGAAGTAATCTGGTTGTTTTTGTGACAGCGGCGCCAACAATAATACCACTCGGATACCTCTTGTGGGGATACAGCCACAAGCAGCAATTTCAAGGTTTAAGCCAACATGGACCATTAAAGGAACAGTGTGTAAGACTTCAGGGGATTTAGTGTCATCTAGTGGTGAGAATTGTGGATTACAACCAGCTGAAACTTCTCCTAGTTAGAATTTTTTCCGTGTTTTTTGTTCAGGGGTTTTTAACTGTGAGACAAATTATCTGCAAAGGTCTCTTCTTCTCCAAAGCAAACGGACCCCGTGATTAAAAGCAGTAAAAACACAGAATAAAGCAGTTTCATGTTTATAAATCAGTGTTTCTTTGACGCTGTTTGGCATGTAGAGACAAGTAGCTTAGCTACACATGCCAATGTGTGCTCACCTTTTTATGTGATAACTTAATGATCCAGATCATCCAGGAGGTTTTTACCGTAAGCTGAATTATTCACCAAGGTCTCCTCCTCTCCAGAGCAAACAGACCTGATAACTTAAACTGGTAAAAACACTGAATGAAGCAGTTTCATGTTACAAATCAGTGTTTTTCTACATGGCGATGAAACATGGCAATCTCCATAAACAAAGACCCACTCCCTATGTAGATATAAATGGCTCAAACACGAGGATTCTTACTCTCAGGTGATCATACACTAAGAAAATACTCTTGTAGTATTATATTGTATTCATTTTCTGCCAGTTTATCCCCCTAAATCGCACACTTGATGTTTAATGGTTGAAAGCTGTGAAGGATCAAGACCTTGACAGTTTACAACACCTGCATTAAAGACAATGGGACAGACACTCATTCATTTGAGTGCAAAAACATTTTTGGGACGTGCCTCAACAGCTTGAAATAAAAATATTCACC